GGCCCCGCTACCACTACTAAGCGGCCTCGACGTCGCCTCTACCAAGCCGCCCAGCAGCCGAGCCGCCGAGCCGCCCAACAGTAGAGCCGCCGAGCCGCCCAACAGCCGAGCCGCCTAGCCGCCGAGCCGCCGGACAGCCAAGCCGCCTAGCAGCCGAGCCGCCGAGCCGCCCAGCAGCCAAACCGCCGAGCCGCCCGACCGCCGAGCCGCCCAGCAGCCGAGCCGCCGAGCCGCCCGAGAGCCAAGCCGCCCAGCAGCCGAGCCGCTGAGTCGCCGAGCCGCCCTGCCGTCGAGCCACTATCAGTCCTTCCGACGCGCCCCAGCCCTACTTACTCGTACTGGTGAGCTCAATCCTTGCTAGACCTCTGCAGACATGGCTACCCCCAGTGTTCTTACCTTTAACACTGAGGGCCGTGCTGTTGACTTTGAGGTCTGGGTCGATGACCTGCAGCTGTTCCTCCAGTGCGATAGGGCAGACGGCCTCTCTCTGTTTGATCTCACCTTTGGTGCCTCCCCTGCCCCGCCTGCTACTGCTGACGACACTATTTCCTCACAGTGGGCCACACGCAATGCTGCTGCCCGTCTTGCTGTGCGTCGCCACTTACCGACCACTGAGCGTGCACACTTTAGCCAGTACAAGAGTGCTCAGACCTTGTACGCCGCTCTAGTTGCACGCTACTCTTCCCCTGCCTTTGCTGCACAGAGCCGTTTCATGCTACCATACCTCTTCCCTGACCTTGCTGCCATTTCCACAGTCGCTGACCTCATTACGCACCTCCGCACTAGTGACACTCGCTACCGCGCTGCGCTTCCTGCTGAGTTCTGCGCCAAGAAACCCCCCCCCCCCCATGTACATCACCCTCTACTACATAGTCACCCGGCTCCCTGATTCTCTTCGCTTAGTCAGGGATCACTTCCTCTCAGTTTGCCCAACCACTCTCACCGTTGACCTCCTCGAGGAGCGCCTCCTAGTAGCGGAGAAGAGCAGGGACCAGTACCCCCACCGCGCAGCAAGGGTGACGTCACTGAGGTGTTGATCGACTAGATCCGCGCAGCTCGTCTCTGGCTCAGGGACTGTTTCGGCTCGGACTTTCTTGTTCTGCGTCTGCACTCTGACAGAGGCGGGGAGTTTTTCTCTGCCCGTCTGAGAGCCTTCTGTCGGGCACAAGGCATCTGCCAGACCTTCACGTTTACGGCCTCTCCACAACAAAATGGGATTGCTAAGCGCCGCATTGGCATGGTCATGGACGTCGCTCGTAAATCCATGATGCATGCGGCTGCCCCCCATTTTCTGTGGCCATTTGCGGTTCATTACGCAGCACATGAGCTCAACCTTCAGCCCCGGGTCTCCTTGCCAGAGACCTCCCCCACCTTGCGGTGGACGGGGAAGGTTGGCGATGCGTCTGCGTTTCGGGTCTGGGGATCTCGCGTGTTTGTCTGCGACTTGTCTGCGGACAAGCTGTCCCCCCGTGCTGTTCCCTGCGTCTTCCTTGGCTTCACCCCTGACGCGCCTGGTTGACAGTTTTACCACCCCACCTCGCGCCGTGTTCTGTTCTCCTAGGACATCACCTTTGACGAGTCGGTGCCTTACTACCGTCTCTTCCCCTACCGCACTGCGCCCCTCCTCCACCGCCGCTCTTCCTTGCGCCAGGTCCTCCCCCGGTAGACCCCCTCCCCCCTCAGGGTCCTGCCTCGTCAGGTGTGTCTCAGGTAGACGCAGTCGAGCCTGTCGAGGTAGCTGTTGACTCTAGTGCTGTTAGAGCTGCTGAGCCTGCGGGTGCCGGGTCTGGAGGTGCTGAGCCTAAAGTGCTGAGTCTGGGGGTGCTGAGCCTGGAGGTGCTGAGTCTGGGGGTGCTGAGCCTGGAGGTGCTGAGCCTGGGGGTGCGGAGCCTGGGGGCGCTGGGTCTGCTCGTGCATCCGCCGGCGGTGCTTAATCGAGGCGGGAGCCACTCTCTCCACAGGAGCTGCGCGAGTAGTTTGCCTGGCGCTGGAGCCGTGCTATTGGAGCTGGAGGTACTACTGTTGCCGCTGGTCCCGGAGGTGCTCGTACTAGCGGTACTGGAGCTCCTGGGACTGGAGGTGCTGCTTGGGCTGCTGGAGTTGGTCCTGCTGGAGCTACTGGCAGTACTGGAGCTGGCGGTCCTGCTGGAGTTGGTGCTGCTAGAGCTGTTCGAGTTGGAGCTGCTGGGGGTGTTGGCGCTAGTGCGTATGAGGGTGCTGGAGTTGGCGCTGCTGGCGCTGGTGCATCTGCTGGGGGTATTGGTGCTGTCCTTACTGGTTCTGGAGGCGCTGCGCGGCCGAGGCCGTACTTTGTTCCGCTCCTTGAGCAGGTTCTTGGTCTCCCGCCCTCTACTAGTCTTGCTCCTCCCTTAGAGTGTCCACAGCCTGTCCAGTCGCAGTCACAGTTACAGCCCGCCTCCCCCCCACCTGCTCCTTCTCCCTACACTGGTCCTACTGAAGGTCTTGCTGAGCGTCGTGAGCCTGCGTCTCGTTCTGCGTCGTCGCTTTGCGCTGCTTGCACTATTCGTCGTGTTCCGCGTCCGCGTCCTCCTGCAGTCCCAGCACACACGAGATGGCACTGCGTCCTACCGCTGCTCCTTTGCATGTCCCGTTGCCGTCTCCTCCTGAGTCCTCTCTTCCTGTTCTTGCTGACCCTGAGTCTGACTCTCTTCGTGCTGTTAGTCCTACTGTCACGTGTCTTCTGGCCACTGTTTTCACTGACCCTTCCTTTGAGTCCACTGCTGTGTCTGCCTTGGTTGGTGAGCTTGTTCACTTCGCTGCTCGCTGTCGTCTACACTACGCTGCTAGTCTCATTGCTGAGTCTGAGTTTGTCTGTCCTCCGTCCGTCGAGGGTGAGTGAGCTCTTAGCACGGACGTCCTTGAGGACAGGAAGGAGGAGTTCCAGTTCTTTGCTGCTCCTTTGCCCCATCTTGTGTCCACGCTGATTGCCCCCGAGGGAGACCCGGATGCACGAGACATCCCGACTCCTCGATCGTACGCTGAGGCAATCGAGGGTCCCTACTCCTCTCAATGGCAGTCAGCCATGGATGCAGAGATCGCTTCCTAGAAGTCCACAGGCACCTACATTGACGAGGTTCCCCCACTTGGGGCGAACATCGTCAATGGCATGTGGATTTTCAGAGTGAAGCGGCCGCCGAGTTCTCCGCTTGTCTTCAAGGCGCGTTACCTGGCTCGAGGCTTCAGTCTGCGACAGGGAGTTGACTACTTTCAGACCTTCTCTCCCACCCCGAAGATGACCACTCTTTGGGTGCTGCTGCACATAGCCACTCAGCAGGACTATGAGCTTCACTCCCTTGACTTTAACATAGCTTTCCTACAGGGCAGCCTGCATGAGGAGATCTGGCTGCGCCGCCCAACTGGCTTCACTGGGTCGTTTCCTCCTGGTACCCTGTGGAGCCTCCGGCGGCCAGTCTACGGTCTCCGCCACGCGCCCCATGAGTGGCACAACACACTAAGGACTACACTTGCGACTTTTGGGTTTGCTCCTTCTACAGCCGACCCTTCGCAGTTTTTGCGCACCAACACCTCTCTGCTGCCGTTCTACATCCTCGTGTACGTCGACGACTTGGTCTTTGCCACTGCTGACACTGCTGGACTCGCCCACGTGAAGTCCGAGCTGCAGAAGAGACACACGTGCACGTACCTGGGTGAACTGCGCAGCTACTTTGGCTTGCAAATCACCCGGGACAGAGCACAGTGCACCATTACCTTGACTCAGTCACACATGGTGCAGCAGGTCCTTCACCGCTTCAACTTCACGCACTCCTCACGTCAGGCCACTCCTCTGTCTACTCGCCACTCGCTCTCAGCTTTGCCTTTGGATGAGTCCGTAGAGCCGAGTGGCCCGTACCGAGAGCTTGTTGGCTGCCTCATGTACCTGATGACCTGCACACGACCTGACCTTGCATACCCTCTTAGCATCTTGGCACGCTATGTTCCTCCTAGGAGATACCGATCAGAGCACATGGCTGCAGTGAAGAGGGTGTTGCACTACTTGTGCAGTACGTTGGGCATGGGGCTAGTGCTTGGAGGGCGACATCAAGTGGTCCTCACAGGTCACGCTGATGCTTTTTGGGCTGAGAACCAGGCTCATCAGCGGTCGTCACAGGGTTACACCTTCAGCCTTGGTTCCGGCTCTGTTTCGTGGCGGTCTACCCGCTCGTCTTCTGTTCTCAGCTCCAGTTGTGAGGCTGAGATCCACGCGGGGGCCATGGCTGCACAGGAGCTACGCTGGCTCACCTACCTGCTGACTGACCTAGGAGAGGCGCCTGTTTCTCCTCCAGTTCTGTACGTAGACAACAAGGCCATGCTGGCCTTGTGTCGGGAGCACAGACTGGAGCACAGAACGAAGCACATTGCTCTTCGCTACTTCCTTGCTGGTGAGCTGCAGCAGCGTGGTCAGCTGCGCCTTGCTTACGTGGCCTCTGAGGCCAACACTGCTGATATCTTTACCAAGGCATTTCCGCCTTGTGATCATCAGCGCTTTTGTACGATGCTAGGTCTTGTGCCTACTTGGCCTCACTTGCTCACTTCTTGACCTTGCTTGTACTATGATCTTTCTATACCTGCACTTGCTTGTTTACCTTTATATATGATCTGAAGCCACTTCGAGTGCAAGGCTGGACCCATCCACCAGCAACACATCCACCAGCAACCCATCCACCACGGCACAAAGCCACATGTCCTCCCACCATTCTGCACCCACCTTCCTCCCTCTCCCCCTTCGCACAAAGCACCATTCTTCCCCCCTCTCCCCCTTCGCACGAAGCACCATTCTTCCACCCCTCCCCCTTCGCACAAAGTACCATTCTTCCCCCCTCTCCCCCTTCACACAAAGCACCATTCTTCCCCCCTCTCCCCCTTCGCACAAAGCACCATTCTTCCCCCCTCTCCCACTTTGCACAAAGCACCATTCTTCCCCCCTCTCCCCCTTCGCACAAAGCACCATTCTTCCCCCCTCTCCCCCTTCGCAGAAAGCTTCATTCTTCCCCCCTCTCCCCCTTCGCAGAAAGCACCATTCTTCCCCCCTCTCCCCCTTCGCACAAAGCACCATTCTTCCCCCCTCTCCCCCTTCGCACAAAGCACCATTCTCCCCCCCTCTCCCCCTTCGCACAAAGCACCATTCTCCCCCCCTCTCCCCCTTCGCACAAAGCACCATTCTTCCCCCCTCTCCCCCTTCGCACAAAGCACCATTCTCCCCCCACACCCCCCCGTTCCCCCTCCCAGCACCAGCATGTCTCGCACGGGCAGGCCCTCATCACTTCCCGCAACCCCTCTGAAGCGGCTGCCAGCGAGCTGCACGCCACCAGTGCCTCTGAAGTGGCACTCAACGCACCTCCTCCCCCAGCCTTTCCGCCATCAACACTGCCTTCCCTTCCCCCATCGACCTCTCCTTGCGCGCCCTTGGCCTTCCCCTCACCTGAACCACCTCCGCTCCCCGCAGCACCAATCGCATTTAACACTTGCACCCCCGTGCTCCCCCCTTCCTCCTTCACCCCCTCCTCTCCTGCACCTTCCATGCTACCATCGCGTTCCTTCCCTTCGTCCTTACCTCTACTGCCCTTCCCCTCATCCTCTTCATCCTCCTCTCCCTCTGCGCCCTCCTCCCCATCCTCCTCACCGCCCTCCCCTGCGTCCTCCCCCTCCTCTGCATCTGGTGCATTCGTCTCTGCAAGCAGCATGGCGATCAAATCCGCCATGTCGTGATTCACCTGCCGTCATGGAAGGAGGGGGTGAGGTGGGGGTGCAAGGGGCAGAGAATGCGGCAGCGTGGCAAAGAGGGATGTGAGAAGAATGCGGCGATTGCAAGAGGAGAGAGCGTGCGGGAGAGGGAATGAGAATGCGACAGCGTGGCAAAGAGAGAAGTCGTGCAAAGGACAATGCCGGGCTGATGTGAGAGGAGGAGCGATGCTGCAAAAGCGGTGGGACATGAGGGAGAATGGGAATTGTTAAATCACCGTTCCCCGTGCAAAGCCTCACAACCTCACCTGAACCCATCATCCCCTCACCTGCACCTGCCCCCCAAACCCCCTTCCCTCACCTGCACCTGCCCCCCAAACCCCCTTCCCTCACCTGCAGCCGGGACAGCACGTCTGCAATGTCAGCGGTGCAGCGTGCGGCGGGGCATTGTTTGACGATCTTCTGTGCGCGCAGCGACCGCCCCGCGGTCTTGGAGCGGTCGCGTGTGTCGGCCTGCCCGTGGAAGCGCTGCTGCAGGCACGCGAGGCAGAAGCTGTGCTGGCAGGGCGTGGACACCGGGGCGCGCAGCACTCCCCCACACAGCAGACACGCGAAGTCTGAGGGGAGGGGAGGAGGAGGGGTGGAAGGGAGGGGCGAGAAGAAACGAGTTCTCTTAGCTGCTTGTCACAGCTTCATGCACTCTCATTCCTCGTCATGCCACAACCAGCCCCAATCCCCCAGCAGGCAGGATCATACTAGTCACGACCCACAGCCCAGACCCTCCCATCACCCAGCCTGCCACACCTTTCGCAAGCCGCTTCTGTGCTAGCGCTCTGCGCTTCTTCACATCCTCGCCCGTGCTGCCACCGCTAGCCTCTCTTTTAGGCGTCTCAGAGACACACCAATCGCATCTCCCACCCCGCTCACCTTTAGCGAGCTGCTTTCTGTGCCAGCGCTCTGCGCTTCTTCACGGCCTCGCCCGTGCTGCCCACCGCGAGGCGCTTGGCGGAGCGCCATGCCGTGCTGGTGCCACCGATGGGCTTGGTGCATGCTGGGGGCGGCCGCACCCACCCCCACTGCTGCTTCTCCTCCTGTGGGCGTGAGAAGAGAGCACAGGAAGGACAGGCTTGAGTGTGTGTTATCCAGTTACACGTGTGCACGCATGCACACACATGCAATCCCACCCATGCACAATCCAGTCCCAGGCGGGCGGGCCGGTGCGCTTGGTGACGTCCACCGCCTGCTTCAACTCCGCCACCTGCGGCAGCTTCCTCCCCGGGCTGTCCCCCACGTCGTCACTGCGTCGCACACACGGGGGGCAGGGGGCAGGGACAGGGGCAGGGGACAGGGGCAGGGGACAGGGGGCAGGGGAAAGAGGGGTGAGCGGGGGTGGAAGAGGAGGAAGAGGGGGGAGAGGGGGAAGAAGAGGAGGAAGAAGGGGGAGAGCATGGGATCAGCAAGGGGAGGCAAGGAGGGGATAATGGAGACAAGCAGGGCGGGCCAAGCGAGAGAGAATGGATGGACTAAGCAGCTTGGCGCGCCCTGAGTGTGCAGGGAGCAGAACGTGGTATGGGCGGTGGAGAGGTGCTCCTACGTGGTCCAGGGGGCGGGCGAGTTGTCACAGCGCACCAAGAGGTAGCGACACACGAGGAAGCCCTGTGGGTATGAGATAACAGAGAGGCGTGCAGCACAAAAGGACATGCGCGATGCTCATTCCGATTGTGCTTTTGCGTTGGCAGCAACACCATAATTCCAAGGTTCCCTCCCACTCTACACGTCCACCCACCTACAACAGTCATCACGCTCCCTTCCCCCCCTTTCCTCACCACGTCTCCTTTCCCCGAACTCACAACGCACCTCCACACTCCCCCTCTCCAACGCACCACGGCGCTCTTCTTGCGCCAGCAGCACTCGATGAGGTAGACGCCATCATTGCACGCCCGCCTGTGGCGTCATTCCAACGCACCACATCCCACTCACCATGTCCCACTCACCATGCCCCACTCACCATGTCCCACTCACCATGCCCCACTCACCGTGTACTACCCACCCCCCTTCCCCCTTCTCACCACGGCGCTCTTCTTGCGCCAGCAACGCTCGATGCGGTAGACGCCGTCGTACCGCACGCCTGCCTGGGGTGTTGAGAGTTGAACTAGAATGAGTTAAGATTAACTAGGGCCTAGGCTTAGTAGCCTAGGCCCAACTAGGATGTCGAGCGGGTTTTGCCTAGGGTGAGGTTCGAGTGAGTTGGAAGAGAAGTTGGGAGAATGTGTGATTTCACTATAGATTTCGAAGTACATATAGCAAAGGAAACAAATGAAGAGGTGCACCACCTACAAATTTAATAACTACACTACAGCTAGAACTACATGCAGTTATAATAAACATAATTCTGACATCCCCCCGTAACTGCATGCAGGAATAGCTAAGTGCAGAGCACAACCTGCAGAGGTACACCAACGAACAATAAAACAAGCAACAGCAGGTACTGCAGGCGGGCTAACTTTGAATGGTTACCCCCTCCATCTCCTCACCCTCCTCCTTCCCCTCCCCCACACTGCTGCAGGAGCAGCAGAGAGGGGGGGAAGAGAGGAGAGGTGGAGGGACGGCTGCTGGTTGCCTCACACCCGCCACCCCGGTGCCACTCCCCCTGCTCCCCCACACCCTCACACCCTCCCCCCCAGCGGCAGTTGCAGCAGTGGGAACGAAAGGAGGAGGAGGGGAAGGGAAGTGAACGACCCAACACCCCAACACCCGCCACCCCCATACCCTCCCCCCCACGGCTGCAGGGAGAAAAAAAAGGAGGGGGTGGGCGGGAAGAAAGTCGCAGAGCGGCTTCAATGTGTTGGACCGGGTAGCTCAGGGGCGGCTGAATGGAGAGCGGGTGCGGAAAGGCCCGTCGCGTGCCACGGGGCGCACGACGGGTAAGAGTAAGTGTAGGGCCCGATCGTGTGTCACGGGGCGCACGACGAGCAGGGCACCGTCGCGTGCCACGGGGCGCACGACGGGCAGATTTAGGGCACCGTCGCGTGCCACGGGGCGCGCGACGGGCAGATAAGGAGTCACACGCCCGGGGGGCGGGACAATAAAAATTCGCCACGCGCCCTAGGCGCGCGACAGAAAAAGCGTAGCAGCGGAAGCAAGAGGCGGGCCCACAGGCCAAGTCGTAACGCGCTCTGATAGCATGTTGAGAGTTGAACTAGAATGAGTTAAGATTAACTAGGGCCTAGGCTTAGTAGCCTAGGCCCAACTAGGATGTCGAGCGGGTTTTGCCTAGGGTGAGGTTCGAGTGAGTTGGAAGAGAAGTTGGGAGAATGTGTGATTTCACTATGGATTTCGAAGTACATATAGCAAAGGAAACAAATGAAGAGGTGCACCACCTACAAATTTAATAACTACACTACAGCTAGAACTACATGCAGTTATAATAAACATAATTCTGACATGGGGTGCATAGCTGGACCGCCGCTCCTTCTCCGACCTGCAGCGCGGGCGCAGTGACGCATGCGTGCGGGATGCGACGGGACGTCATGCGATGTGGTTGGCGGAGAGGTGTGCGCGTTGGAGAGGGTCGGACGGCAGTCACAGGGGAATGCACTTGCGCGGGAATGCACTGTCACGGCCTCGGCTGTGCTGCCCACCGCGAGGCGCTTGGCGGAGCGCCATGCTGTGCTGGTGCCACCGATGGGCTTGGTGCATGCTGGGGGCGCGCGCACCCACCCCCACTGCTGCTTCTCCTCCTGTGGACGCGGGAGTGAGAGCATGGGAGGAACAGCCTTGAGTGTGCACCGTTTACCGCCAAACCAGCTCGAGACTGGTTGACTTGGCTTGTGAGGGGGGGCTTGCCGGGTGCGGGTGATTCTTCGGTTTGGCTCGTGCTTGAGTGCATCGCGGTCACACGCATCAAGCACGCATCAAGCATGCGTGTTCATCCCAACAAAGAAACATTAGCAGCTGTCACCCCGTGCCACTCACAAGCAAGCCCCGCACGCGCCGCTCACAAGTCACTCCAAATTGCGCCACTCATCCCGCACCCATACACACCCACCCACACACATCAACGCACTCACAATCCAGTCCCAGGCGGGCGGGCCGGTGCGCTCTGTGACGTCCACTGCCTGCTTCAACTCCGCCACCTGCGGCAGCTTCCTCCCCGGGCTGTCCCCCACGTCGTCACTGGGGAAAGAGGAGTGGGGGGGAGTGCGAGGGGAGAGAAGCGCGGTTGTGTTTAGAGAAAGGGAGGAAAGATGCTGTGTGACGTTTCGAATGGGAGAGGTTAACGAAGTGATGGGGAATTGAGCAGGAGAGTGCTGTGAGGGACACGAGGGCCAAGCGGGCCACACGGGAGAGAATGGATGGCCAGAGCTGCTTGGCGCGCACTGAGTGTGATGGGCCTGTCAGTGCCTGGTCTGGGGGGTACCTACCTGGTATGGGCTGAGGAGAGGGGTACGGACCTGGTATGGGCGGTAGAGGGGTACGGACCTGGTCCAGGGGGCGGGCGAGTTGTCACAGCGCACGAAGAGGTAGCGACACACGAGGAAGCCCTGCAGGTGGGGGGGTGTTGCAGCAGCAGGGGAGGACAGAGGCGCTGCTCATTCCTCTCGCACTTGCGCTTGCGATAACACCCACGAACCCAAGTGACTTCCCTTCCGCTCCTACTCATGGCGACCCTGCTTTCGCCCTCAACACGGTGCTCTCACCATTTCAACACGGTGCTCTCACCATTTCAACACGGTGCTCTCACCATTTCAACACGGTGCTCTCACCATTTCAACACGGTGCTCTCGCCATTTCAACACATGGCCCCTTCCGACGCTTTCTCACCACGACTCTCCTCCCTTCCCCCTCCCCTCTCCCTCCCTTCCCCCTCCCCTCTCCCTCCCTTCCCCCTCCCCTCTCCCTCCCTTCCCCCTTTCCTCACCACTTTACTCTTCTTGCGCCAGCAGCGCTCGATGTGGTAGACGCCGTCGTACCGCACGCATGCCTGGGGTGCATAGCTGGACCGCCGCTCCTTCTCCGACCTGCAGCGCGGGCGCAGTGACGCATGCGTGCGGGATGCGACGGGACGTCATGCGATGTGGTTGGCGGAGAGGTGTGCGCATTGGAGAGGGTCGGACGGCAGTCACAGGGGAATGCACTTGCGCCGGGAAAGGGGAACCAGGGGGCAGGTGCGTGGCGCGGGTGAGGAGCAGAGCACAGGGGCAGGGGAGAAGTCAAACACGATGGGGAAGGAACACCAAGGGGAAAAGAGAGGGGTGGGGGAAACGGCATAGGATGGAGAAATGAGAGTCAACAAAGGTAGGTAGGAGGGGCGGAAGGGCGGCACTAGGAAGGTGCTGAAGGGGTGTGGGTAGGGCTGGAAGGGAGAATGCGAGAATGGGAGAAGGGAGGATCGCGGGACACGGAGGCCGGGTGGCAGCGGGGTCGAGAAGCCAGCGAGCCGGACTTGATCATGTGAGTCATGGTGTACCGGCGGAAGGGAGACTTCCCCTGGTGGTAGGGACGTAGGGAGGTGGGAAAGAGTGGAAGAAGAGAGGTGTGGATGAAGGGCGGAAGCGAGAAAGGGGGGAAGGGCTGGAGAAGGAACGCAAGAGGAGGCACGAAGTTCGACAGGGAGGAGAGGGGACGGGATAGAGGCGACGGGTGTGGGGAAACGAGACGAGGAGGCAAAGGCGAGCTCTAGTGGTGCGACGGCGAGGAGAAGCGGCGGAGACGGGCGGCGACGGGGCCGAAATGCGACGGGGACGAGCTGCGACGGGGACGATGCGACGGGCTGCAACGGGGGACGAAGTGCGACGAAGACAAAATGCGACGGGGACGAGATGCGACGGGGACGAGCTGCGACGGGGACGAAATGCGACCGGGACGAGATGGGACGGGGACGAAAAGCGACGGGGACGAAATGCGACGGGGGAGACGAGACGGATGAGGAGAACCTACGGGGCGGAGATGCTACGGGCCCACATTGCGACGGCTAGGTCATAAGCTGGCGAGGACACGCTGGTTCTGCCGTCAATACCGCGAGCGTGGAAAAAAGCTGCGGACGAGGCGGGAGTTTATGAGCGCGAACTTTACGTTCTGAAGTGACGGCGGTAAGAGATTTTGCTACTTGTAACAAGTTGACGCGGGCCCTGTAAGAGTTGGATTACGGTCTCACATCCGCGATTCATGGTCCTACGTGCTCGTATCCAGAGGAGGTGCCGATAAGGCTCGTTCACTGGTTATATATTATCAGTGCAGACCCTTCCAAATCGACGGCTCAAACCATGCTGTATCATTTCTTTAGGTGCGTATTGACCAGGAGGCAGCTCACCGCGCCATGACGTGTAGGGCGTAGTCTCGGCTTCGGATCATCTGGTGTTTGGGGACCCCGAATTATCTTTGCCGAACCGCGGTTTTCCGAATCGAGATGTGGCGAGCTTCGGCGAACAAGGTGTCCGAACTGAAAATTTCGCCGAGCTGCTGGGCTCAATTTCTGGTAGCGCGACAACATTCAGAAATTGCATTGCAGTCAGAAATCTAGTCGCGCCAAAATTGCCAGTTAGCTCTTGCGATCGCAGCTCAAACTGACGAGTGTAACGAATCACGATATTTCAAAATAAATCGCCAAGGAATTTGGCGTGTGGTCCCAGGACTTGCCTGTTTTTCTCGAAACTCACCCGAGCAAATCAGGTAACAACTCAGGTACGGTTTTCGCAAACTGGGCCCAGGTTGTAATTCGGGCACTGGGTTCCGTGTTCTGCGGCAATGCGCAAGCTTCTCAGCTATGGAATTTTCCTGAATTTGTTGCTTGCCTAGAAGGTTTTGCAGCTACAGTTCTACCCTCCTCAACCACGGCATTCCCGCCAGGTACCCCGCCATGTGCGTTCGCTTGAATGTGCTGTCCACACGACAGCGCATTCTCGATGTTTCCCACAGCGTGACAAGCAAGGCATTTTACTCCCTGGTCATGGAACCGAGGCATATCAGTTTTACACCACTCTATATCAAAAGAGCACCCTACGGAACGGCTTTGTAACGCCCTCATGTCTGAACACGTTCCCCTCCTGTTCTTGCCAAGCATAAATGCCACAAGGCTGCTTGCTCGTTTCTGCATTCAAGCTTTCAGACTCTCTATCTTACCTCGTCAACGAGCCAACCACCGTAATACATTCTAGGATCGATTCATCCGCTAGGCGCTTCAGTTTGCGATGGGGCTCCAACGTTACCATGACGTTTCGATACTTCTCTTACTAGTCTTCACCGCATGTGCTAGTAGTGAGTGATGCGGATCTGTGCCTGCCCACAACTGTCACATTCGCCGTTTCTTGCTGTCAGATTCAAAGCAGTTAACTTTCACGAAGCATTACAGCGAAAAGCTTCGTATTGTAATCCCTAGATGTTATTTCTCATGTATTTCACATGTTTAATTCCAAACGTGACTTTCTTCCATGTGGGCAGCGATAAACGCGGGTCCCATTGGCGCGGGTCCGTGCCCGTTGCCCAATCCCGAGAAGGCTGCGGCTCTCGGTCATTTGACTGGTAAGACGGAGAAGACTTTTGCAAATCTTTAGGAGCACGTCTTCCAAGCGACCATATTCTGGAATCTCAATCCGAAGGATCCTTTAAAGTCCGTTGCACCTTTCCGCTATTCTATCTCTCTCTCTCTTTCACGTCGTTCCGCCGCTCCTCTCCCTTGCACAGCCATTCTCGCCGCGCACCTGAAAGGTTCCGCTATGGGGACGTCGGGTGACAAAAACGCCAGCGGTCGAATCTGCCTCGCCGTCTTTGAGTAAGCCCGACTGCTACTTTCGATATCATCCCGGCGGTTGCGGGCACCAGTGTGATGCCTCGTCTGTCGACGCTTTTCGTTTCCCGTATCTACTAACGAAACCCGGCCCCTCATACTTCCAGCTCGTCAGTTATCTCACCCAATGTTGCTTTCATCTCTCTGAGTAGGCATGCAACCAATCATTACTCCCTTCTTTCGCTCGCTTTATGAGAACCCGACTGGATCCGTCAGGTTGGGCGGAGACTACAACGTCCACTACCAAGCGCTCGTCTCCACCTCCAAACTGGGCGCTCCGACCTCCGCCTTCATCGCGCTCGGCAAGGCGGGGAATGCAGGAACCACCGTCTTCGAGATTGCCGGGGCCAAAGCCCCGTGGAAGGATAAACCACCCCCGCCACCTCCAACTCTGTTAATGAACAAAACGATCACACCCACATACACCTATGCTTTGAAGGGGACGTGGCTTAAAGCGAGTACACAATCATTTGCGGATGGCACGACTGTGAAGGAGCTGGTGGATGCGATGATGACGTCGGCAAGAGACTATAATGGGGGGTTCACGACGGCGTCTTTTACGGCGGGGGCAGCGAGTGGGATGTTTATGAACGATCCGCTCCCAGCAGGCACAAAGAAGGAAGACAATAAGAAGGGGGAGCTCGTTAAAGTCGGTAAGAAGTCCTGGCTCTCCTGCATTTCCCCCTCCCTATACACTCCCAACTCGCTCCCGCCCCACTCTCATCATCTCTTGACCTTCTTCACCTTCGCTCCCACGCCTGCTCTCCTCCTCTCGCCTGCTCTCCTCCTCTCGCCTGCTCTCCACCTCTCGCCTGCACTTGACGGGCCGTCCACTCTCTTACCATCTCTCCCTCACCTCCTCACCTTCACACCCATGCGTGTTCTACCAAGGAATCCTCTCTCCCGCCTCCTTCCATTCACTCACCCCCCCCCCCCCCCCCCCCCCCCCCTCGCCATCTCTTCCCCACCTTCGTCTCACCTTCACCCCCATGCCTGTTCTACCAAGGAGTCCCCTCCCCCGCCTCTTTTCATCCTCTCACCATTCCCCCGCCCACCCTCACCATCTGTTCCCCACCTTCGTCTCACCTTCACCCCCATGCCTAATATACCGAGGAGTCCCTCTCCTGCCTCCTTTCATGCTCTCACTATCCTTCCCCCACCCTCACCATCTGCCCTCGCCTTCCACGTGGGCTGCTCTCCCACATTAGTTCAGGGGCCACATCTTTCTGGCTCCAATGCTGATTTTTAAGGCGCCTGAAAAGTCCTCACCCACCTTCGACCCCCCACCTTCCACTCTCTCGACCATCTCTTCCCCACCCTCGTCTCCCCACTCTCTCGACCATCTCTCCCCCGCCCTCGCCTTCCACGGGGGCTTCTCTCCCACGGTCGTGCAGGGGTGGTGGGGGCGAACCCTTCTGGCTCCAACGCTGGCCCCACTGGAGTCGTCAAGGCCAAAGGCAGCATTTCCCTTGCCTTGCTCCTGTAAGCCTCTCCTTCAATCCCTTCCCTCCCCCTTCCCCCTCTACCTTCGACCCCCTCACTTCTCCCCTCATTTCACCCCTCACTCTCTCAACTTCCCACACTTCTTCCCACGTCCCGTTTTAGTTTTCCATCCAAATGCCTCTTGTAATCCTTCGCCCCTCCTTACCCGCCTGCCTCGTGGCCTAAAACTCGCTCCTCCTTGCCCTTCCTTGCCCCTCCTTGCCCTTCCTTGCCCTTCCTTGCCCCTCGTTGCGCCTCCTTGCCTCTCCTTGCCACCCACCCCCTCAGCAACACCACCACTAAGGACTACAGCATCCGTTACCGCGTCATCATGAGTCTAAACAACCCTGGCGAGCCCACCCGCGTCGTCCTCACCAAAGGTGCTGACGTGGCACTCATTGTGACCAACAGCAGCACCAAGTGGGCCAATCAAACGCTATCAGACGCTGAGCTTGCCAAGCTGGCAGAAAAGCCGGCATTCTTGAGGAAAGATCCGCCCCCCTTCCGCTACAGCTATAAAACCACCGGCACTTGGCTAAGCGCCGGTACTTTGAAGGCGGATAACGGGCAGACGTACAAGGAGCTGGCGGATGCCATGCTGGCTGCTCCTGACGCTTACTCTGCTCTTGTCTACACCAAGATGATTGAAGCTGTTGCAGCGAACGGTGATTTTATTAGGACTAACCTGGAAGCAGGTGAAGAAATAGTATCGCACAAAGATATCAAATTGAGCATCAAACTTAAAGGCCGCCTTGGTCTTGAAGGCTGAAACACATGGTATGGTAGGATGAAAAGGGCCCAAGACAAATGTGATGCCATACTAGGTTTCCCAGGGGGGGTATATTGTGAAACATATGTATTAGGGAATAAGTGGCATGGTGTTATGGTATTTTGTTTTCATTAACATCTAGCATATGTATTGGCAATTGAGAATCCAATTTCAAGAACAAGGTGAAGCCAGGCTAGAGCCTATGAACAAGCCCAAGGCCAAAGCCCAAGGCCAGTCCAAGGCCAAAGCCCAAGGCCAAAGCCCAAGGCCAGTCCGAGGTGGCAGAAGTCGGTGTTTTTGAATCCGGACCTTAGAAGAAATTGGTTGTTGCCATACATTTGTGCGTTAACAAAACCAATGAAGTGTCAAAGTTATATTTATATTGTTAGTTTGTTAGTTAGCCTGTAGTAAGTTACATGCTAGGGGGTACAATATTTCACTCAATACTCTCCTTAATCCCTCCCCCTTTGACCTAATCCTCCTTTCTTACAGTATCTCTAGATCTTGACATGAAGCATTCCATTAACATCTATTGTACACATCTCTTCTGAATGTACCAGTCTCTCTCAATCTTTAGGGGAATTGGTCAACTCAAGATGCTACGTGTTATGAGTTGTACGAAAGAAGAGTGTGCAGAATACAATATCGCGGAAGTGATTACAACTACTGAGCAAACAACGAGGCCTAGGCATAATATAGCAAAGCTAGCTAGGCCGAGGTCGCGGAGTCGCGCAAAGGCTGGGTGCAGGTTTGGGGTTGGGAAACCCGAAGGCGACGCGGAGGATGTTCGGGAGGCGAGGTCGACGGACCGAGCCTGAACTCTGAAAGTTGGAATTGTACGCGTAAGAAGTGCCTCAGTAAGGAATTAGCAAAATTCCTTACACTACCCCCCTCTTTAAGAAAGGTGGTCAATATCAGGCACGCGTCGGCGGGAAACAGGCCCTCAGATTGGTTTGAGGGTATGCCGATGGATCAGCGTGCCCCTGCCAACTGTTGGGCTGAAACGCCCTAGGATCTTTGTAGAGTTAAAGTCTGAGTAGATGTTGTAATAGCGGAAGCGTTGAATAAAGTCTTTGAACCACCTTGCGCTAGTATGTGAGGGCAAAGTAAGTTGATTAAAGCAAAGAGATACAAGAATATAAATAGATGAGTACAGAGAATATGAAGAGACATTATAACTACTTTTACTGTTGCGGTTCGATACAGTGCGACTCGGGCAACTGCTCAATGTCGAGTCAGTTGTTTGTCCTTGCTGTCGCGCTGCGTCAGGTCAAAGGTCGCTGACCTTTGACTTTCTCGTAACCTCCGACGGTTACGTTAACCACCAGGGGTTGACTCGCGATGCTTCGACTCGAGCTGCTTCGCTTTGTGTCTTGAATTCTGACACGACAGAGGCGCTTAACTTATTTGTTCCCAACACCAACCAGGTGTCCAAATCAGCGTTGGTGGTTTTCTTTATACTGATACTGTCAGTGTAAATTTTTTTCCTAAACTGAACCTGCAGTGTAAAAAAAATAACAAAAAAAGCAAAGCTGATGCAACAGTGCATGGATGCAACCAAAGTTACCATTGTCACAGACAGCAGCACCAATACCGCATGCTGACTGAATCTACCACTAACAAACTAGCTCATGTCATGTCATCATCAGAAGAAACGCTCACATCATCACCATTGCCACCGGCATCGTCATCACTCTCACTGCCATCGCCTGCAGAACTACACATGCCCTCGTCTAGGTCCTCCTCCACCACCCGGCGGCCACTCCCCTTAACAAACTTGGCCTTGGACCGCTCCTTCTGTGGCGCAGCTTGCTCCTTGCGCTTGCTGGGGCGCCTTTTCCTGGTGCTCCGCCAGATGTCCAGCACCTTATCCCACTCCATGTCGTAGTCGAGCAGACTCATTGCCAGCAAATCTCCCAACTTGGTGTTGCAAAGACTCGTCCGGCGCCATGACTTGATCACATTCTGGCAGGAAAACCCGTGCTCGCACTCGACTGTCCTGAGAGGCAGAACAGCGACCGCAGCCCACAGACGGACTAAGTTGGGGTAGCTGGTCTACAAGATGGCCTTCAAACATGCATGAAAGGGCTGCTCTTCTTTGGGGGCAGTGGAGAGCACCGACAGGAACGTGCGCAGCTCCGCTCGTGCCGCACGCTTCTGGACACCTGCAAAATGGGAGAGCACAACCGGGTAGAAAGTCAAGCGCACAACATGGGAACAACGCAACCACGGAAACGGCAATGCATACACGCAGGTCAGTGGGGTTCTATTTCTTGCTCACTATGCAAGATCGTGTCCCGGTTCTTGGCCTGAAACAGATGGACAAGGCCGTGCAGGTGCTCCTTGCACTCTGCGTCTCTTGCCTTGACGCCCCTCGGCCACGAGCGGGGCATGAAGAGCTTCGCCCCGTTCAAGCACGCCAGGTCTCCCAAGCGCAGCTCGAGGATGTACACCAACTCGAGAGCGAATGAGCGGCAGTAGGTGTAGAAGCCTTGCATGTCCCCGCTGCTAGTGGTGTATCCCTTGACTGCCTCCTCGTGCAGCTGGAACGTGTGTACCCGGGGCTGACCCTCCTTGTCCACCCCTTCCACAGTCACTTCACGGCAGTCGGGCGAGGCCTGCCGCGCGAGGAAAGCAGACAGCAGCTCGCTGGTCCCACCGCCAAACTGCTGGCCACAATTCAGGTACCTCTGCTCCATGTAGATGATGGTCCGCCTCACCTGGGAGTGCAATGCAGTGAGGTCGACCCGTTGGTGGGGGGAGAATTGGTACACTGAAACAAAAGATAAGTACCTGGGAGAAGAAGAGAACTGCAAAACGGAACTCAACAACTCACCTGACGCTTCTGGAACAGCAGGTTGAGCGCGTTGAGTGCCGTGTGCACATTTGCCAAGAACAACAGGAAGTAATGAAACTTGAACGACGTTACTAAGTGGTACATCGTCTTGTCCGTCTCCTCGAGCATAACAATGACAGCAGGCAGAACGCGGACGAATCATGCGATTGCATCGTCGCGACTCAACCAGCGGACGCTGTGGATCCCCTGGACCTCAAGGTTGGTATGCGTGAAAGCTTCCTGCAGCTCCTTGAACTTGCGGTTGGAGTTGCTGGATCTGCCGAGATCTTCCGCCACTGTGCGGATAACTGCGTCGATTATGCCAAGCTCGGGTAGTGCCTTAGCCGCCTCCTTTGCAGCAAGCGCTTCCCTGCCACGGGTAGAAATGCACGAGTGGAGGTGTTAGAATTCGCACTGCGACATACCACGTTGCACATCTCATACCGCAACAACACCACCACAGCAACAGTTTACATGTGTGCGATGCAGTGAGAAGCCACCACGTGCGGGATCTCCAGTTGAAGACGCCCAACGAGGCCCGTGCCGTTGCCTATCATCACAGGTGCCCCATCGGTGCTGATACCCGCCACCTTCTCCAGCGGCAGGCTGATACTGTCAAGGAATCCAGTGAGCTTGGCATAAAGAGATGCTGCATCACACTTCTCGACAGAGAGGTTAGTCAGAAACTCTGTGGTGACGGCATGCTCACGCAGAAAGGTTACAAACACAATCATGTGCTTCCCTTTGACGCGGTTCGTACTCTCATCGCAGCTCAGACCAATGAATGGACTCGAATCAATGAATTCTCTCTGGCGCGGTCGAAGGTATGTCGCTATTGCGGTGGTGATCTCTTCAAATCCGTACCTGCACGGGCATCAACGCGTGTGGTTAGTGATAGCTTCACGTATATCACAACCCCCGGCGATATGTACTAGAGCAGTGTCACTTACGTCGTGTTGTAGGCACCATAACTGTTCTTTGGGAAGCCTGGTGTGCCACGCTGCGCTAGATGTTGGACGAGGTCGACATACATCTCGATCGGGGCGTCGGACTTAGCGATGAAGAGTGCCGTCTCAAATAGCGCGAGCAGGCGCTCCTCCTCGGCGTCTTTCACCTTCGGGTTGTCGTCAATCCGGCGGTTAGCTTTGAGCGCCGCCTCGGCTGTCCTCTGTCTGCGCAGAGCGCGGTGGTGCTTCCTTGTGCGTTGATGCTTCCGCATTGCTTGGGTCTGCACATCGGTCGCCCCTTCTCCTTTGGCGCCGAAGTTCGTGCCCACACTGCCGTGCGCAATGCAAACCGAGCACTTGATTGACGGGAACCTGTCAAACTTGTATGCTATAGTCTGTGTAGGCTGTAGTGGGGTAGACAATATGGGGTACAACACTCTTAGGTTTTCCTACTTGTACCCACCTGTTTCCTAGTGCATTCATTCCTCGTTCTTTAACATGGTATAGAGCAGGTTGCCTAGTGGGAACGTTTCCTAGGGCCCACCACTGAAATTCGATTTTTTTATTTTCCTGCCCGGAGCGCGCTTCGCTCCTGTCCGAGTCGCGCCCCGTGTGCCTGCCCTCCAGTCGCGTCCCCTGCCCTTAGAGGCCCGTCGCGCCTTCTTAAGATTCCTCGTGGCCCCTCTCACGGCCCTTCGCGGCCCCTTCGCGGCTCCCTCGCGGCCCCTCCGCCGCCCTTCGCGGCCCCTCTCACGGCCCTTCGCGGCCCCTTACGGCCCCTTGCGGCCCCTTTGCGGCCCCTTGCGGCCCCTTCACGGCCCCGTCGCCGCCCTTCGCGGCCCTGTCGCCGCCCTTCACGGCCCCGTCGCTGCCCTTCGCGACCCCTCGCAGCCCCTCATCGGCCTCGTCGCCGCCCTTCGCGGCCCCTCACGGCCCCTTCTCGGCCCCGTCGCCTCCCTTCGCGGCCCCTTCACGGCCCTTCGTGGCCCCTTTGCCGCCCTTAGCGGCCCCTTCTCGGCTCCTCTGCGGCCCCTTCACGGCTCCTTCGCGGCCTTTCCGCCCCGCTGTCGCCGCCCCAGCAGCAGCAGCCGTCGCACCGTACCAGCCGCCGCCACCACTACCGGGGCCGCCTCCGCCGCAGCTGCCAACAGCGGGAGCCGCCGTCGCCGCTGCCATGACTGCACCAGCCGCTGCCGACAGCGGCAGCCGCCGCTGCA